ACCGTAGCACCCTCCTTATTCGGCCGGGTGTGGTCGATTGTGTGAACCGGCACAATCACTCAGTGAGGGTCGGTTGGGTTGGGCGTGCGGCGTGGCCTGTTAGTAGAGGGCCCGTCTGCTCTTGACTCCTAGCGTTTCCCTACTGTTTGGTCTGTTTTTGCTACTCGGCTTCGCCCTTTCCCTTAGCATTTTCCGGGCATTCGTTCTTACGATGTCACGGCCGATTGCACGCGAAGCAGTGCCCTTTGAACGGTGCGACAGCGGCATTCGTGGAGACGGCACGTATCGTGGCGCCCTCGTTCGTCCCACAAGATCGATGTCCCCAGTTGTTTCTTCCGTAGGACCCCGGTCTAGGTCGGCGGAAAAAGTCGAGTTGCTCTACCATGGCGAGAATCTCCTGAAAATCAGTGACGTCGCAGAGCTGGATTTCCTGGGCGATGTCGTGCTTCAGGCCGCCGATGTTGCGGTCGATACGCTCGACCTCGTGCATATACCTAACTTGCTCGCACAGTGCCAGAAACCCGCTAGTGTAGTCTTGGACGGAACCGAATTGGCGCCAAGTGTGGAGCTTCTGATGCGCCGCGATCAAAGTCCGATTGGCTCAAATCGAGCGCGCAGACCTGGGCACCACGCGTCCCACGTGCGATATTGGGGTACCTCCACGAAATACGACGGCGCTCAGGGTCCCGTTTGTCCTATCCGTGTCGGTAGAGTCGCGTAGTCGTTCGGCTTCGTGACGATGACGCGCCACCAATCCATGGCGGGTCCTTGTAGCAGCGACACGTCGTAACGAATCTTCGCCGTATTCTCCGAGACGTAGTTGGAGTCGAAGAAGACGTTCGTCGTGAACAACCACGCCTGAACGGTAGGACCACCCCGTTGACTCGGGTCGAAGCATGGCGGACGCTGCGGCTTCAGCAGCATCGGTGACGGCAGTGCCGAATTGTTAATCAGGGCCGAGATCGTAATGCGAGGCTGGTTCCTGGCCGCATTCGTCGCCTCAAGGTGTGTCGTGCCGTGGTCGTCGTCTCCGTCGTGGCGGACGACGCCATCACTGGCCGCGCTCGCGGGTTGCCCCACACTTCCGTGCTGTGACGCTTATGTGTCAAAATAGCTTAGGCAAAGGTTAGAAACCCTAGGAAACCTTAGCTAGAAGATAGGCAAAAGAGGAAGTTTGATCAACAAGATTGGTACAAGTAGGAGCAGGGGTGGGCAAGATGGTGCACCACCAACAACAAGATAAACACCACACAGTAGTTACACTAGCAGGCAGTTATAAGAAATTTATAGTTTCTAACATTATGGTGCGGCCTGTACCGGAGTGCCAGGTGCTTGTGATTGCACTTGTTGTGCTCGTGCGATGTCATTCCGCAGGGATGTGCGTTCCGCTGTTAGTGCTGCAATTTCTTCTGAATTCTCGTGCAGCTGGCGCAGCAGTTTGTTCAGGCGGTCCTGCGTGAGCGTCGTGGTGTCAATGTGTTTAGCCATTACGAAGGGCGTCGGCTCGGCTTAGTCAAGGCGCAATCGTGGCTGCAATCGTTTACGAGAGAACGCGAGGACAGCGGCTCCTAGGGGCTAAGGTGCGTGAGTCCCTCCGAGTGAAAAAAAAAAAATCATATTTTGATTTCCTGTGGTGCGGGGATGCGCGGTCCGAAAGAAAGTAGCCATGAATACCAAGTGTTACGAGTGGAATGAACCGATGTAGCGAGGATTGCACTAACTTGTTAAATGCGTTCAAAATGTGAGCGAAGGCATGAACGAACATTTGTACGCGAAACTTTGCTAACGGTAACGTGGTGCGCGCGATTTAGTTAGTGCTAGTCTGGCATCGAGGCTCGGGCTAGTCCCGAAGCGTAGGCCGACACGGCCGGGCCAGCGGTGCATGGTTTGGTGAAACAGTGCGCGCGAAGTTGGCGAAGCCCCGTTAGCAGTAACGGGCGAACAACCGCTGCTGCTTTACGGAATGTTGTAGGTCGCGGTAAGGAATGTCGAGAAACGCAATAGAGACTTAGAAAGATGTGTGGGGCTCCCACCTGAACACATCTCCCATATTGATGGGATTGCACCTGAAAATGGCCCATGTTGTTGACCCGCTCGCTTCCTCAGAGAAGCCATCTTTGGTTTACACGTGTCGATTCTGACGTCAGAAGTCTCGAGATCCGACCTCTCGTGTTGGTGGTTGACGACGGTTCATTCTGACGGTCACACTTTCGCTGAGTGCAGCAGAGCAGAGCAGTGCCCCTTTGTTCCTCCCCCCATCCCAGCCAGTAGAGCTGTGGTGTGTGTGGTATGGTACACCCTGTTTCGCGCCACACTGACATTCGCTGTATTGACATGCCACCTATTCTGACATCAACGCGTCCAAAACGATCCCAGAACATTGCATATAAGCACAATTTGCCGCACTCAACCGTACGCGATAGCAATGTTCTGTCATAAAACGTTTTGTATCGTTCAAATGGACTGCATTTGCCCGCCACCTACCTGGGGTTCGGCTGCAAGCACCAGGCCGCAAAATCCAAGCGCACGTTCGCACTGTAGCCTGGGCTCCCGATTGTCAGGACGCTGAGAAACAGAGTGTACATTGTTCTCTTCTGTACTTAACTCGTTGCCAGATTGACTACATTGACAGTGAAGCGAAGTGAGGAGGAGACAATCTCCTTGGCAGGGCCAAATCTTTTTGCGGCTGCAAGTAGAAATTGTACCGAAGCTTCTTTCAATCCGTCAGCATCGGGTGTGGCCCAAAACTTGTGGACACAACTGACACGCTTGTGGCGAGCCAGGTTTTCACAGAGCCCCCTGCCCTCGTTTCTGGACACCCTTCCATTCTCTGGGTTTTTGGCGCGGGCCTCTGTTTGACACACTTTCCACACAATTCGGTGAGAAGGCTGGGCTGCGTGGCTGTTTTCCTCTCAACCTTCCACAATGGCCCAGTATTCAGTATTTTGCACACTGACATCATTCCCTACTGACGTTCACAACTTCACACCAGTGCTCTTCCAGATCGTCTGAGTTCTCGAATTCTGGGTTTGGAGTCCAGTCTGTATGGTGGCTTGTTTTGGATGTACGGGCAGAAATGACCTCGTCTGTGCTTCCACCAGGCCTCAGGATAGCAAGGCGTTTTACCCTGTTTGCCCTGCATTTCAGGGCGAAATTTTGGACCCACAGTGCTAGCACTGGGTTTGGCTGGGCGTCCACCCTGTCATCGTCAGGCAGGGCCAAAAACAAACCCTGCAAATGCTGTTTTACGCTTATGTTCAACACTGCCGTTTCCTGGCTCGCTATGGCAGAGACCCTGTCCACTCTTTCTCTTTTGCACAACCACCCTGCGCGGCTTTTCCTCTTAAGCCGAAATGTGTTCAGAAGCGTTTGTGAGAAACATTTCCAGAATCGGCTAAGTACTTGAAAGACCTGAGATCGGCTATAGCACAGGGAGTGGCGTTGTGACCGAAATGTGTGCACTAGGGTTTGTGAGTGAAAGCTCCAGAATCGGCTAAGTACGTTTTACCACTAAAGATTCAGCTCCTAGCACAAAGGGTGGCGCGTTTTCGCTAGTGATCACACATGAAAGACCCACCGACAGGCCTCTCATCTCCCCAGTGAACCTTAACCTACGCACTTACCCTCTGTCGGTTGAGGTCCGGACTTCGAATAGAGCCAGGAGACCCAGTTCGACCAGATTTTCTGGTTCTTGGGAATGATCGATAATGGCAGGATCCACAGTGGGACCCAATTTTTTAGCTAGGCAGTGTTTTCGGATTTTCTACCCTGCTAGATTCGACCTCGGAAAAAAAATACATTGCCTTTCATGGGTACGACTTCCAAGGCACACTGCAGAGGCAGGGTGTAGTGGGTCACAACTCGGACCAGGCAGCGTGCCCCAAAATGAATCGAGAGCTCTGGCTCCCACCTGGGAGGTGAGGTGGCGTGGGTGGGCGGGAACGATAGTGGGCCAAAGACTCAGGGGACAACTTTCGTCTTGCCAAGAATCAGGGGACATGCATTATCGCTACCACAGGTTAGAATATATGTGTTTATCCGCCGCGTGCACTGAAAGAAATGAGAGATGCAAGGAAAATCAGGCTGAACATTTCACCTAAAGCTTCCACGAGTGTCACGACGAACGACTCTTGTGGCACCGACATCTGTACCCTCGCAGGTCAATCTGTGGCCCTCTGGCTGACACCGTTTTCCGAGTCACAATCACAGCACACCAATCCCACAACACCAGCTCCACGCGTCAAACCTCCATGAGTTTTGCTCCACATCCACTTACCGATACTTCTCGTCCATTCATTTTCTGTACAGTATAATCAAATGCACCGCAGCGATTCGCTCGGAAACGAATTTCCCTCTTCTCCCTACACCCTCGAGTCGCGTAATTCATTTCTACTCGCACCGCATCGACGACGCTCCACCTCATCCATCAAAGCACAGTTTCCTCTCACGAGTATCCCCAACCCAACTCAATCATCATTCATGCACCTAGCCTAGCATCCAGGTGTGTACTTGCGTACGCACGCACCACTTGATTCTTAGTGGCTCGAGTCGTGTCCGCCGACCTAATGAGTAGCGCGGCCCTCGGTGTCGAGCCGAGCCTTGTGGGACAATGACATAGGTTCGGTCTAGCCCGCCGACCTAGAAAGCCCCGAACCACAGATGGTGTGTAATGCGTGTGATTGGGTCCACTCACTTTCAACGGCCTTCAACGTTTAAGCTAACCAAACGTTGTGGTCAAGCAGCGCATATATATACTCCATAAACCATCTTCTTCCTTTCACTGCTCTCCCGTTGGCCTTCGCTGCACCGTGCGATACCCATCGCCCTCATCTCCGTGCTTCAACTATCCTCAACGCCCGCCGCAGTGCAAGATCAACATTCTCTAAGTAATAGCGAAGCGCTTTTCCCCTACCAAACGCTTCCGCCCTCAGCTGTGCAAGTTCTTCGCTTCGCAACACTCGTACTCCATCTCGCTCGTGTCATCTCGCCGACCGGCGCCTATGGAGTGCCCTTCACTTTCATCGCTGATCGATCCTTCCATTGACTTCCACGTCCCACAACCCGTACACGAGCTAGCGACGTCCGCCATGGCTTCCGGCCTTCTTTCTCTCCAGCCGCCTTCGCCCCTCGATTTTGACGACACCACGGACACTTCGGACTCCACGTCAGCCACAATCAGCGCCTTGAATAGCATCAACGCCACGTCGGAGCCTTGGGAGGAGGCCATGCGCGCTCAGCTCGCCACGTGGTTCGAAGACCCGGACTTTGTCGATGAGGTTCCGTCAATGGACGTCGTCCCCGGCGACAAAGGCGTCGGTCTTATTCTTGACGGAGACGCGATCGTCGCGCTTCCTCCCGACGCCGTCTTTTCTATGCTGTGCAACGCGCACAACCGCCGAGTTTATAGGAACGTCAAGGCGGCGAAGAACGAGCGCGTCGTGAGTGACTGTAACGGGGTTAAGGTTTGCGAAATGGACTTCACTCTCACCTTCAGACTGCCCCCCTTTACAGGAACATTCGACTCGCACCTGCTCTTTGTCTACGATCGCCCGAAGCGCAGGGTGACTTTCACTCAAACGCGCCCCGGCTTCATGCGCAAGTTCGAAGGCTACTGGCAGGTCGAGTCGCACCTCGTCCCGGCTTCCGCTCCCCTCTCTTCCTCCCCCTCTTCCTCGCCCTCCTCGCCCTCCCGCCCTACTTCCCCCACTTCCTCCGCCCCCTCCCCCCCGATCGGTACCTTCGGGTCGTCCCCGCAATCGCCGCTCTCCGAAGTTTGCGGCGGCCAGTGTGATCGCGATTGGTCTGCGGATTTCGCTGGAGCTTTTGCAGCAAGCGCCGGCAGCGGTTACCGCGTGGCGTCGCGCCTGGTGCTGCATCAGTTCGTGCTGCCGCCCATCGCGCCGCCGAACATTTTCAAGCGCTGTCTGCGCGCCCTGCTCCGCGAGTCCACGCGCGATCTGCTGGTGGTTTTCCAGGAGGAGGCCGCGCGTATCCGTCGCAACAAGGGGAAGGAAGAAGCGGAGGAGAAAGGGAAGGCCGGGAAGAGCTCGAAGCTGGGTGCAATGTTTCTGCACAAGGAGGCGCTTGGGGGAAAGAAAAGTGTGTTCGGCGCGGGGAAGGGGGTTTTCGGGTTGAAGGGACGGACGCAGCGGAAGGCCGCGTGAGGGTCGGTGGGTTCATCTGGCGTTTCTGCATTACAGCACAACAGTGTACAGCACAGTACAGTCTCAGTACGGTGCGGTACGGTTCCCTCCAATGCAGTGCAGTGCAACTTAGTATGGTACTGTAGCCCAGTACGGCAGAGTGGGACGCAGCCCACTAAGTTTTTAGGAGTATGGTTGCACTGCGGTGCATAGGACTCATGGGGTACGGGCAGTGATGAAGGCGTGGCTCTTATGCATGGTGCTGACAGCAGCAGTTGCCAATGATGGGTGTAGTATGGAGCTGCAGCGAATGTTCTGTTGTCCCCTGGTGTTGTCAGCACCATGCTTTCGAGCAGAGAGTCTGCAACGGTGGGACATTTAGGGTTGAACAGGCTCAGCCATCTTGTTGATTTCTTTTTCCTTATTTATGTTCTTTCAGGGTTACCTTGGTGCCTTACCATTACCACAATTTATCTGAAGCACGCAAACATATTTTTACAATGCACCAACTAACGATTTGAGTAGTACAAGTGAACGGGAAGTAGTTCAGCCTTTCCTCCACATTTACCATGCCCACTTCCTTGTCGTGGGACCCCACTTCACCATTTCGCCTGGCAGAGAGGTGCACAGATGTGCTTGAGCAGTCAGTGTTGCCCGTCGGTGGGGTCGTCGTTGCACATCGCTTTGGGGTCTGTGCCATGACATTGGTCTAGCGAAGTGTCAGACCTGCTGGCATGAGTCGCGTCGCGTCACTCACGGCAGACCAAACCTCGGAGCAGAACCAGACCAGACGAACCCGACTCCCACATCACAACAGTGTTCGTTTCCAAGTATGGAAGTTGCACTTGAAAGTTCGGTTCGGGGTCCAAGTCAGCTGCTCACCCCACCATACCACCACCTGGCCGCCTTGGCCAATCGGAACCAGCCATAAAGCAGCAATACTAACCGTTCGATTGCGGTGTGAGCTGGTTCGATCTCAACCATCTCACACCTCAATCACGTTGTCCTTCGATTGGCTGTGAGCTCCACCAGTTTGAAAGTTCCTGGCTGGGAAAGCAAGCCGCGGTACACGCGTTTCAAATCATCCAGCAGCGCACCGTACGCCAATCTCCTGCTGGTTCACAATCACCACCAGGTGAATCATGACCCTTCCCATCTGCACAACGCTCCACGTCACGCGATTTCACCGGACTTCGACAACTCCCAGCCATCCATTTTCACCCGCCAACGGACCTTACCGCCAATCGCAGTTCCCGTGCGATCTTCGCGCATCTAGCCGACCTAACCTAACGGAGTGTCGTCGCCGACCTAACCTAACGGAGAACGAACCAGGGTCTAGTAGGTCGGCTACGTACCAGTAGCAGTAGTTTCGATTCGACGGGTTCATTTGTTCTTTCTCTCTGGCACCACGTCACACTCACACCGCGTAGCGTTTCATCCGATGGCCTCTAGCGTCGCTCGCGACGCGAGCCTTAGAACCGCCCGGTGCGCGGTCCGTCCAGCTATTGAAACGCCAGCCTCATTCCGTGCAGCCCATATCCTTGTCGCTTTGTGCTCGTCTGGGCTGGCGCGTACGTACAAATTCCAGCAGACTGCGCGAGCCAAGTCACATCAGCAAAGCCAGCAGATAGCAAGTACTACGTACAAGCGCAGTTCTTGCCTCCTAAACAATTTTCTTCGAGCCGTGCTTGTCAGGTTTAGGAGCTAGTATAGCTCGTTCAACACCTGCCGTCCGCAATCCGTTTGAATATCCGTCCGCCACGTCACCCGCTATCAAGGCCACGTCAGCCGCCATGAACACGTCAGCCACTAGTATCCCGACCGCGTCAGAGCCCTGGGAGGAGGCGATTAGCTCTCAGCTCGCGGCGTGGTTCGACGACTCGCACTGGACGGACGAGCCGCCTTCCATGACAGTTACCGTTGGGGACCACGGCCGCGGCCAGCTAGACGGCGTCGCGACGGTCGCTCTTCCCCCAGACACGGTTTTCTCTATCCTCTGCGACCCGCACAACCGCCGCGTGTTCACGTTCATTAAGTCCGTCAAGAACGAGCGCGTCGTGAGTGACTGTAACGGGGTGAGAGAGGTCGAGTTGGACATAGTGTTCGCGCTCAAGGTGCCCTTCTTTACAGGCACGTTCGACGCGCACCTGCGCAACGTGCACGACCGCCCCAACCGCAGGGTCACCTTCTGCCTGTCGCGCCCCGGCTTCATGCGCAAATTCGAAGGCTACTGGCAGGTCGATCCGCTCCTCGTTCCCGCTTCTGCCACTTACGCCACCTCCCCCTCTTCTGCCGCTTCCGCTGCTTCCGCCGCGCCTTCCGCCAGCGATGTGCCGTCATTTCTCTCAGCAGAGGGTGACCCTGAGTCGGAGTCGTTCCCCTCCGTTTCCTTCACTCCTCAATCGCCGCTCTCAGATGTCATGTTTCTGGGCAGCTCATGCGACAGCGATTCCGAGTCCGGTTCGGACCTAAATTCGTCTGGCAGCGATTCTTCCAACAGTGCCAGCAGCAGCCCGGACCGCTTCCCTGCCCGCGTGATACCAGACCCCACCACCACCACAAGCGTCGGCAGCTTGTGCGGCAGCGGTGGTGGGTTAGGCGGAGACGACACGCGCAGGTCAGGCAGGTTAGGCGAGGACAGCGGGTTAGGCGCGGACGGCGGGTTAGGCGCGGACGGCGGGTTAGGCGGAGATGCTGGCATGCGCGTGGCGTCGCGTCTGGTGCTGCATCAGGTCGTGGAGCCGTCGCTAGCGCCACCCCCGATGTTCAGATGCTGCGTTCACGCGCTGCTCAAGGCAGCGACACGCGATGTGCTTGTCGTTTTCCAGTATGAAGCCGCACGCATTCGGAACAGCAAGGGGAAATCCCCCTGGAGAAATGGGGCGGAAGCGGGCGCGGAGGAAGGGGAGGAGGAGGGGAAAGGAAAGGCGGGGAAGAGCTCGAAGCTGGGAGCGATGTTTTTGCACAAGGAGGCGCTTGGGGGGAAGAACAGTGTGTTTGGCGTGGGGAAGGGGGGGTTTGGGTTGAAGAAACCGGCGCAGCGGAAGGCGTGAAGCTGCGGGTGAGGCTGACAGTGACACATCGCCTTATCGATACAGTGCAGCATTTATACAGTGCAGCAGAGCAAGGTACTAGGAGATAGACAGCTACATAGTTTCTACGGCCCTCATGCATTGTGCTGACAGCAGCAACAGCAGCAGCAGCAGCAGGAGCAGCAACGGAAGCAGCAGAGCCTGTACAATCCTTAGGATACATGTGCAGATAGCCCTTAGTGGGCCATCATGTGACCTCAGGATCACACGAGGCTTGAGAGCAGTGATTTGGATGGGAAGGGAGTGACGCCTGCTGCTGTCAGCACCATGCATTTGAGCCTTTATTGGGTTTAGCTGAAGAATGGAGCAGCTAGAACCCACAAGGGCACCATGCCTTTTGTAATTGCTAGAAAGCGAGTGCTGTTAATATTGAGAGAATTGCAATTCAATGTACACATCTGCAAGAAGAAGCTGGACTTGAATGCTGAGTCTCGTGAAGAACGCGCAGGAATACAATACGGTAACTTATAGCATTATGGAACACAGGCATGATTCCATTCCACCGTAGTGACCCAACCAATCGCAAGGGCACCCAAATACAGTACACTGGAGATCTTGCACTACACATTCTGGATCACTAATTCCCTTATTTTGTTCTGATACATTAACCAATGAGCAGCATGCGTGCAGTAGTGACGAGGAGTGTGATGCGTGAAGCAGTGACGCTCGCTCCATGAGAGCTCCATCCCTTCCAAGGAAAGCGGACAACATTCATGTAGCTGCTTCATTTATCCCGAGACATAACGCAACAACAGGACTGGTGTGGTGGTGGTGCATGTAGCAGTGACTACATTGCATCCAAAAGTGTGAGGTGAGGCAGAATGCTTTCCCCCTTGACTGCATGAAAGAGCAGGCTTCATTTCCTGTCCGGAGGCAGTAAGTATACAACGCGGAGCGTGGTGCAGGCAGCAGCAACTGCAGCTAAGAGTGTGGGCAGGAGTTTGCCCGTCGAGCAGGCTCATTTCCGAAGCCAGTAGATGATGAGAAACGTGGTGCAGGCAGCAATGACTGCCCCAAGGATGAGAGTGTCTCGCGACTTCTTTCGCCGAATGGCCCCTGCAGGTATGGAGTGGGGAGCGGTGGGGGGAGGGGGGGGGGGGGAGGGAGGAAGGGGAGGAATGAAGATGGCACAGCCACGGGACTGCCCCGAGGATGAGGGTATCGCGCGACTTCTTTCGCCGAATGGCCCCTACAGGTATGGGCGGGGGGTGACATGTGGATTGGGGGCGGGCGGATGGGAGAGAGGGAGGCGGCCGGAGAGAAGGGAGAGGAGAACGGGAAGGAATGAGGGTTTTTAGTGCCACAGGACTTGAATGCCTGGGAAATAAGAGCATCGCGCGACTCCTTTTGCCGAATGGCCCCTGCAGGTATGGGCGGAAAGCGGGGGGGGGAAGGGAGAGAGAGGGGGGAGGAGGGAGGAGAGAGGAGGGAGGAGGGAGGATGGAGGCGAGAGGAGGGAGGATGGAGGAGAGATGAGGGAGGAGGGAGGAGAGAGGAGAGAGGAGGGTAAAAAAAGGGGGAGTGGGAAGGAAAGAGGATGACCATGGCAGAGGAATAGGTGATTTTCATGCAGCGGGGCGGGAATACGAGTGTTGCGAGACTTCTTTTGGTGAATGTACACATGCGCACACACATGCGCACACACATGCGCACACACGTGCGCACACACACATAAATGACATACCCAGCACGCTTCTAGGAAAAGGAAAGCGACCGGAGAGCAGCTTGATGCGGCCCTGAATGCTCGCAAGCACCTCACGCGCACCAATACAAAGTACCCAGCACCACCAAGAGCGCGCACCAATACGAAGTACCCAGCACCACTAAGAGCGCGCACCAATACAAAGTACCCAGCACCACTAAGAGCGCGCACTGATACAACATACCCAGCACGCTTCTGAGCAGAGGGAAGCGATCTGATAGCAGCTTGATGCGGCCCTGAATGCTCGCGAAAAGCGATCGCTGCGACGCCAGAGCCGCCTTGGTGCTCGCTGCGTGTGAGATGAGCTCGTCCATCTGAAGGGTGCGGTGGGGTGAGGTGGGGTGCGGTGGGGTGCAGTGGGGTGGGGTGCGGTGGGGTGGAAGTGTATAACATCTTAGCTGGCAAGCGCCAGAGCTGCCTTGGTGCTCGCTACGTGTGAGATGAGCTCGTCCATCTGAGGGGTGGAGTGCGGTGCGGTGGGGTGGGGTGGGGGCAGGAATGGGGAGAGGAACGGGGATTGAGGCACGGGAATCAGGGCATCCATTTCTGCTGGGTGGAGGGGCAGGAATGGGGGGCACAGGAATGGGGGGCACAGGAATGGGGGGCACAGGAATGGGGGGCACAGGAATGGGGGGCACAGGAATGGGGGGCACAGGAATGGGGGGCACAGGAATGGGGGGCACAGGAATGGGGGGCACAGGAATGGGGGGCACAGGAATGGGGGGCACAGGAATGTGGGGCACAGGAATGGGGGGCACTTTTTATGGGGCCAGTTATGGGGACATGAACTGGGGCGGAAACGCAGGCGGGAATTAGGACGTCTCGGGAAGTTGAGATGAGAAGGAGGTGAGGCGTCTTGAATGGTTGTGGGGCAGGAGCAAGAAAAGGACGCAGCAGGAGAGTGATGGGACGCAGCAGGAGAGTGATGGGACGCCAAAAGAGAACGCCGTGGGAGTGCAAGCTGTGGTGTTGCGATTGTTATTTCACCCGAGCAATGCTATGACTGCTTGAGCAATGCGATGACTGCTTGAGCAATGCTATGACTGCTTGCGCAATGCTATGACTGCTTGTGCAATGCTATGACTGCTTGAGCAATGCTATGACTGCTTGAGCAATGCTATGACTGCTTGCGCAATGCTATGACTGCTTGCGCAATGTTTCACGTGCTTGCGCAATGCTATGACTGCTTGCGCAATGCTATGACTGCTTGCGCAATGCTACGACTGCTTGAGCAATGCTATGACTGCTTGCGCAATGCTATGACTGCTTGGGCAATGTTTCACATGCTTGCGCAGTGTTTCACCTGCTTGCGCAATGTTTCACCTGAGAGTTTGGTATGTAACCTCTGCTTGGTGGCACCAGTCGAAATTCGTCAGAGCTAGTACTGAGTTACCTGAGGAGGGCTGCTGCAATCACCTGAGCTATGTTGCCGTGGATTGCCCGCCTCTCGAGCAATTGACTTTGGCTAGAACCTGACGGCTGCTCGTATGGAGGTGAAATGAGAGCAAGGTAAAAGTTGGAAGAGGAGAAAAGTAAGAGAGCAATTGCAGATCCAGCCTTGTGGCAAGCAGCGCACGCAAGCAGCGCACGCAAGCAGCGCACGCAAGCAGCGCACGCAAGCAGCAGAATGCACGTACGGCACGGCAGAGCAGAACGCATGTACGGCACGGCAGAGCAGAATGTATGTACGGCACGGCAGAGCAGAATGTATGTACGGCACGGCAGAGCAGAATGCATGTACGGCACGGCAGAGGCAAGCAGCACAGCAAAAAGAGGTTGGTGGTGGTGGGGGTGGTGGGGGTGGTGGGGGTGGTGGGGGTGGGGGTGGTGGGGGTGGTGGGGGTGGGGGTGGTGGGGGTGGTGGGGGTGGTGGGGGTGGTGGGGGTGGTGGGGGTGGGGGTGGTGGGGGTGGTGGGGGTGGTGGGGGTGGTGGGGGTGGTGGGGGTGGGGGTGGTGGGGGTGGTGGGGGTGGGGGTGGTGGGGGTGGTGGGGGTGGTGGGGGTGGGGGTGGGGGTGGTGGGGGTGGTGGGGGTGGGGGTGGGGGTGGTGGGGGGGGATGGGCGATCCGGACATGGCTCTGTGAGCTGCGTGCGTGCAGTAGGCTTAAGCCAAGGAAAAAACAGGCGCGGAGGTTGGTGGTGGTGGAGGATGGGTGGGCGCGGAGAGGACGTGAGTAAGGCACAGCAGTGTGCAAAATACATCTTTGTAATATATCTTTGTGATATAGTTAAATGATTCATTCATTCATTCGTTTCGTATATTATCGTGCATGGCACAGCACTGGCAAGCAGCGCACCACAAGGAGATCCGCAGTAGCGGTGGTGGATGCGCGTGAGGAGGAGGAGAGCAGCTCCGCGTGCTGCCTCATCATTGCCAGGTTGCCCCTCGTGCGCCGAAACTCCTGCAAAGGAAGTCATGTTTCAGGGAGAGGGGTGGGGGGAGAGGGGGGAAGGGAGGTGGAAGGGGCGGGGGCTGTAACAGGAAGGGAGGAGGAGAGCAGCTCCGCATGCTGCCTGATCAATGCCAGGTTGCCCCTCGTGTGCCGAAACTCAAGTGGAGTTTGGGAAGGGGTAGGGAGGGTGTGAGACACGCATGACTGAGTGTAGGGGGGACGGAGCTGCCTCATCATGGCCAGGTTGCCCCTCGTGCGCCGAAACTCCTGCAAAGGAAGTCATGTTTCAGGGAGTGGGGGGGAGAGAGGAAAGGTTGGAAGGGGCGCGAAGAGGAGAGCAGCTCCGCGTGCTGCCTCATCATTGCCTGACTGCCGCTCGTGCGCCGAAACTCCTGCCAGGGACGGCTGAAGATGGAAAACAATAGGGGGAAAGAGGGGTGAGGTGGAGAGGAGAGGAGCGGCGGGTGGAGGTGGTGGGATGTAACAGGCAGGGACGAGGAGAGTAGATCTGCCACCAGTTCATGCCATGTGTCCCTTGACATGCCGACCCATGTGTCCCTTGACATGCCGACCAAAGTGGGGGTTTCCACAACCACCAGGTATCCCCCGTTTCCCCAGCAGGTGTCACATATCAGCTTATAGCGCACTCGATCCCTCATCCACACACATACCTGAGTGAACTCCTGCGGAATATCCCAATGCTGAGCCACCTTCAAGGACAGCACCAGCACCACCAGCAGCACCAGCAGCAGCAGCAGCACCAGCACCAGCACCAGCACCAGCACCAGCAGCAGTACCAGCACCAGCAGCAGCACCAGCAGCAGCAGCAGCACCAGCAGCAGCACCAGCAGCACCACCAGCACCACCAGCACCGGCAGTACCACCACTGCCACTATCACTACTACCACCACCAGGGATCCCCCACGCACCTGCGTGAACTCCTGTAAGATGTCCCGATGCCGAGCCACCTTCTGAGACAGCGATGCCGTGGCAGCCGTGCCCTCGCCACCCACACCACCACCGGCAGCAGAGCAGCAGCGCGCCATGCGGTTGTTGGTGTCTGCAAGCCGCTGCAGCTGCGCCTCTATTGCTTTTTCCACCGCCACCACCGACCCCTCGCTGCCCCCCTCGCCCCCCTCGCCGTAACCTGTGATTTGAGGGGGAAGGTCGGGGGAGAGGGAAGGCGGGAGGGGCCAGAACGGCGGTGAGAGGAAGGGAGGCAGGCACAATGCGAGGCAACAGCAGCAGAGCAGAGCAGCAGCGCGCCATGCGGTTGTTGGTGTCGGCCTGGCGCTGCAGCTGCGCCTCTACTGCCTTTTCCACCGGCACCACCGACCCCTCGCTGCCCCCCTCGCCCCCCCCGCCGTATCCTGTGGGGAAAGGAAATACGCGGGCAGGGAGGCGAAGCGGGACGAGAAACGAGGGAGGGATGGGAGAGGCGGAATGAGACGATGGAAAGGGGTGAGAGGGAAGGGAAAGGAAAGGACAAACTTTATTCCTTACTTGCCGTGTGCTCCTTTGGTAACCGGAGAACCCCTTAACAATGCGCCGTGACGACTGCGTGCATTGCTGACCGTTGAACCACCCACCGTTGCGCGACCAGCGTGCTGCACAGGTAGGCGTATGGCGACAGATGTCGCACAGCTGGTCGCAGAGCGTCGCATGACTCACCGCTATGCGACAGCATGCTGCAGAGCTTGGCGTACGACGACAGCTTCACGTCCAGGTCGCCCTCCAGCTTCCGCGCCTCGCGCCGAAGCTCCTCCCACGGCGCGCCCGAATCGTCTGCGGCCATGATCCCTCGCTGTTTGCCAACAGCGAGTTCGACAGGCTCGACGCTAAAGAGGCTCGACGGGCTCGACGTTTGGGTTCCACGTTCGGGTTCGACGTTCTGGTTCGATCGCAACAAGCCGGTCAGCAGGTCATGCTTCCTCGTCCAGTAAGTGCGAGTGCAAGTGCAGCTTACAGCATTTGTATTTCGCAGTTATATGCTGTGTAAATTTTAGAAATGCTAAACTGGTTCTTCGTACTGTCTTACAGAAACTATCGCAGGTGGTTCTATGACGAGTGATTCTTAAGTGCTTCTTGGAGAATAGAAATCACTTCCTGCACTGCTAAAGGCATCTCGAGCGCGGAATAAGGTAAAGTATACTCAGAAAACTGGAAGACGCTTCAAAAAATACATATCATCCATCTGATGTAAAAGCCACCTAACCGAGGACGCGTGGTTCTGCAGTACGAACCTAATTCATTTACTGTACTAACCAGGGCGACAGGATAGCCAGCCTGCAGTTAAAACCTAATTCACCATCCAGCCAGGGCGACAGGATAGTCAGCCTGCAAATAGCGATCTTTACTATCGCACGCCGCGGTTTCAGAATTTTGACCCGAATTCGTCGCGGTGGTATCAGCAGCAGGACGCACAACTAAGGATGTAGTTTGCCTCTCAATCAACCCCTCGACATTGCCGATTACTACACTGTGCAATGGGACCTTCGTGTCTCACTTGGAAGACTCTGGTCTGGAATCTGACCGTTGATTGCCATGGGACCATCTAAGAGGACGAGATGGTTACCACAGATTTGTAAGACGGTACAGTGAGATGCTATGCATCTCAAAACGGCGGAGTAGGACTTCAGTAAGAAAGGATTCTGCGTGTCCTGTATGATTGGTACGAGGGTTGATTCGGATGAGGTTCTACAGAACCAGAGAAGCAGGTTTGAGGTCTATGCGACTGTTTTGGTAACCCTAACAATCTGCCATCGCGACGTCCGCACTGGTCCGATCAATGCTCTCTCGAACATGTCAGTTACTTGTACGGAGCCTAAGAACTCAGTACCTTTCGACTTCAATTTCGCGAACACCGTCAAGCGCAAATTCACGGGAACCGAAGTTCAGGCGAAGCGTTTACACATGCGAACGTAGCTTCGCTATTCCGTGATTCGCAGAGAAGTTGTGTGTACCGTTCGATATTCAATACAAACCACACGAAACTCCTTCCCCAGAACACAATTTCGAGTGCCAGATTTTCAGAGTGACGTTGTAAAAGCCCGCAATGCAACACGATAGGGGGGTTTAGATAAAAGCTCAGACCGCCCTTTCTTACAGGATTCTACTTTTGAGGCGCCTAAAAAAAAGCTCAGAGCCCCCTTCTTTACAGGGCAGAGGAAGTCAAGGTGGCATTGGCGCTAGGGCGCGCAGCGAGATGAGGAGCGCGGGGTCCGCAGGCAAGGGCGGTCGCGCCAAGTCCAACTGGCCCGACACCCCCAACGCGTTTCAAACTATAGCGCCTCGGAAACGCGACGAGGCACGTGTCGTTCTTACCGCTTTCGCCGCCACTGCTGCTCCTGCCGTCGCCGCCCCTGCTCGCTGCTTCCCCGGCTATTCTCGCCAACCTGTCTGCACTCCGCTTATTCCGCTCCCCCAACCCAACCCCGCTCTCCCGCACGCGCCTCTTTCCCCCTCGGCATTGCCATGGACTTCATTCCTCGCCCCTGTGTCCCCAACTTTCCGCCTTCCCCCTCTCGCCCCTCCCCTTGTTCCCGCTCTCTCCCCATTCCTCCCCGCCCAGCCCTCCCCCTTCTCCCCCTGGCTCGCGCGCGCGCTGCTGTTCCTCCCCGGCCTCGCCACAGGCTTCATTCTCGGCCGCCTGCTGGGGGGAAGCGGGGGAAGCGGAAAGGCCGCAGGGGGGAAGAAGGGGGAGCTGACGGCAGGAGGCGGGGGGAGCAGTAGCGGGCGGAAGGGGGGCGGAGGCAGCGCGGGGGGGAGGTCAGCGCCAGCGTTTGGGGGGAAGGCGGAGACGGAGGGGGCGGGGGGGCTGGTGGTGGGGCGGGGGAGTGAGCTGAAAATGGTGCTGGTGGTGCGGCAGGATCTCAAGATGAGTTCTGGGAAGATCGCCGCCCAGTGTGCCCGTGAGTGCTGCCCAGTGCGCCCGTGAGTGCCGCCCAGTGTGCCCGTGAGTGAATTTTAAGTCGACTCAAAAATGGTGGCGGGCCGGGGGAGTGAGCTGAAAGTGGTGCTGGTGGTGCGGCAAGATTCTCAAATGCGGGTGGGGAAGATCGCCGCCCAATGTGCCCGTGAGTGGAGGGGGAGGGGGGGGGGGGGGGGGGGGGGGGGGGGCACAGGGTGGTGGTGGGGCGGGGAATTGGGTTAGAGTTTTGAGGCGCCTCAAAAGGAGCACGGGGTGGTGGTGGGGTGGGGGAGTGAGTTAGAGATGGTGCTGGTGATTCAACAGGACCTCAAGATGAGTTCTGGGAAGATCGCCGCCCAGTGTGCCAGTGAGTGCCGCCCAGTTTTCAGTCGGATGAACCTTCATTGATCTAGGCAGTTTCCAGTCTGTCTCAAAACCCCTTGAGCCCTCAACCCTCAAACCCACAACCCTTCCACTCATGACCCCTCCTTCTCCTCTCCGTCCTGTCATCCCCTCCTCACATCCCCCCCTCACATCCCCTCCTCACATCCCCCCCTCACATCCCCTCCTCACATCCCCCCCTCACATCCCCTCCTCACATCCCCCCTCACCTACTTCCTACCAGACGCAGCAGTGGGTATTCTCACCGACCTGCAAACAAGGTGCGCCTCTCTTCTCTCCTATCACTCACCCCCCTTCACACTCTAGTCGCACTCCTCCCCTTCCACACTCAACATGCTGCTAGTAGCAACAACGATACGTCCCTCCCTCACTCCTCCAAACTCCCTTTCCTTCCTTTTCTTCTTCCACCCCTCCTTCCTCTTCACTCTTCCCAACACCTTTCCTCTTCCCTTGTGTACCCCTACCTCTTCCTCCTCACCGTTTTCTGCTCAAAATCTTCCCTCACCCTTAGATCGCCCTCCCTCCCTCGCTGCTCTCACTCCTCTCCCTTCCCCTCCTAATCTCAGCCGCCTATTCTGAATCATCTTTCTGCTGCCTGTCTGCCTGCCTGCCTGCGTTCCTGTATAGGTTCCCGTCCTCGTACCTGTGAGTGTGCAGCAATAAGGCGTTGCTGCCGCACTACGGGGTGTGTGGGCAGCCCAAGATGGTGGTCTCCTGCAGCAACCTCGTCTCTCCCTTCCCCCCGCAAACCTAATCCCTGCCTGCCTGCCTATCTTCCTGCCTACCTGTGAGTGTGCAGCAATAAGGCATTACTGCGGCATTACGAGGCGTGTGGGCAGCCCAAGATAGTGGTCTCCTGCAGCAACCTCAAGGAGATGTGAGACCTCTCAAGCAAGCCTCGAAAAGTTGGAGCAAGTTTTGAAAAGTTTTTTCCTTTCTTTCCTTTGTTATGTTTTTTCTCCTTTCTTTCCCGTTGATGCTGCTATGCGCTCATGCATGCACCATGCCACAATAATCTCACCATGCACTACCATGCACCACTGTACTTCACCGTACACCACTCCACAATACACCACCATACCGCACTGTACGCCACTGTGCAGGAACGAGCTGAGAGGGAAGGCACAGCAGCACCGGTTGCCAGTCTTTACAGTCTGCGATGCTGGCAGGACTCAGGTGGGCCTCAGGTGTTCCTTCAGGTGATACCGGCATGACTCAAGTGGGCGTCGAGTGACGCTTCAGTTGAAACTTCAGGTGATGATTCAGGTCATGCTTCAAGTCTGTCTGTATTTTTTTTCCTTCTGTTTCCCATGCTCCTCTCCCATGCTCCCCTCCCATACCCCACCCCAATGCTTTCCTTCCTATGCCCCTGCTCCAAAACCCCCACCGTCAACAGGTGGCAGCAGGGTCCAAGGCAGTGCTTGCAGTGGGTCCAAACCAAAACTCCCTCTTTTTGAGGCGTCTCAAAAGCCATCCTGCTCCACCTGCCTCTCCCCACTCACCCCACTCCCTCTCCCCCCCCCCCCCCCCACCGTCAACAGGTGGCAGCAGGGTCCAAGACAGTGCTTGCAGTGGAACCAAAACCCCCTCTTTTTGAGGCGTCTCAAAAGCCATCCCCCATGCTCCACCTACCCTCCCCACTCCCCCCCCCCAAACCCTCAACAGGTGGCAGCAGGGTCCAAGACAGTGCTAGCAGTGGGACCAGGTCCGTGCTCCCTCGCCTCGTTTCACTTATCGCTTCCTCCCACCCATACTCTTGTTCTTCTCTAGCCCCTCCTCCCTCACCACGCCTCCTCCCTCACCACACCTCCTCCCTTACCACGCCTCCTCCCTTACCACGCCTCCTCCCTTACCACGCCTCCTCCCTTACCACGCCTCCTCCCTTACCACGCCTCCTCCCTTACCACGCCCCCAATCTTCAACCCCCTTTCAATCCTCCCTCCGAATTCCCCCCTTCACTTGCGCCCCCTCACCGAAATTCTCCCTTCACTGAACCTTTCACGGCCCTGTTGCCTGTTTAATCCTCTCCCTTGTCCCTCACATTGCCCCTCGTCACCCTCACCCATGTTGGGAACAAAGCACTTCAGCCCAACAACCCACACCCAACCCCACCCACACCTCTCCCCTTCACAACGGCTGATGCAGGCCCCAAAGCACTGGTTGATTCAGTTACCGGCAATCAACGCTTGCTGTAAGCAGTGTATTGAAATGCAGTACAGTTTAGTGCAGTGTAGTGTAGTACAGTTCAGTCTGCAACCAAGTGTAGTTTCTCTATAAGTGTAACCATAGCATGCTATTTGCCCTCTTGACAAAGGTCGGATCATACAGGGAACATTCGTTTACACATACTATAATACAAGGGAAACAAAGCAAGCTACATCACAAAATGCGCCATGTGGTACAGTACAGGTGTGCTGTTGGTGTGCCTGCAAGGGTACTGAAAACTGCTTAACACTGCAGGGATTGAGGCGGCTCAGAAGTATGAACAAAGGTGCAATGGTGTCAACTGTGTACATGTGATGTGATGTGATGTGATGTGATGTGATGTGATGTGATGTGATGTGATGTGATGTGATGTGATGTGATGTGATGTGATGTGATGCGATGCGATGCGATGCGATGCGATGCGATGCGATGCGATGCGATGCGATGCGATGCGATGCGATGCGATGGGATGTGATGTGATGTGATGTGATGTGATGTGATGTGATGTGATGTGATGTGATGTGATGTGATGTGATGTGATGTGATGTGATGTGATGTGATGTGATGTGATGTGATGTGATGTGATGTGATGTGATGTGATGTGATGTGATGTGATGTGATGTGATGTGATGTGATGTGATGTGATGTGATGTGATGTGATGTGATGTGATGCAATGTGATGCAATGCGATGGGATCATTCCCTGCGACCAGAATGTGTGCTGCCGAGGGTGCAATGCTGCACCCAATGTGACCAATCTGAGTCCTTTGGCACTTAACTAAGTGCTGGAGCTGGAAAGAGCAACACCTGCAAGGAATGGCTGGTTGGAATCCTTGTTGGGCGACAGAATGGCCTGTAATTTCCGACAATAGTTTTCAAGAAGAAAGGGGAACGGGGGAATTGGGGGGAAAGGGGGAGGTGGGAAGAAAGGGGAGAGTGGGGGTAGTGTTATGAAATACATTGTTCACTGTTGAACACTTACTGCAGAGCACTCAGCAACACTTACTGCAGTGCATTTAGTGACACAAGGCTCATATAAACACTCAGGGTATTAGCACCATGTGCTGGCACAGCAGTCTCTCTATCCACACATCAGCTCTTCCTAACACTGCTGCTGCTGCTGCATGTCCCTCATACGTTCACACACACTCACCGCATTAGCGCCATTCGCCTCTGCAGCAGCTTCTGAATCCACATCCCCACGCATCTGCTCTTGCTGCTGCTGCATGTCCCTGTTCTGCTGCCGGCGCTGCTGCACGAGGCGGCAGCAGGTGAAGGAGACGGCTACGAGGAGAATGGTGAGGGCGATGAGCAGGCAGACGGTGAAGAAGGATGAACCCCACGTGGAGTCAGAGGGAGGGGGCTGCTGCTGGGTGCCTGTATTGGATTGGGAGGGGTGCAGGAAAGGAAGTGGATGAGTGAAAGGAGATGGCTAGGAGGAGAATGGTGAGAGCGACGAGCAGACAGACGGTGAAGAATGACGAACCGCACGTGGAGTCAGAGGGAGGGGGCTGCTGCTGGGTGCCTGTATGGGAAGGGGAGGGGTGCAGGAAAGGAAGTGGATGAGTGAAAGGAGATGGCTAGGAGGAGAATGGTGAGAGCGACGAGCAGACAGACGGTGAAGAATGACGAACCGCACGTGGTGTCAGAGGGAGGGGGCTGCTGCTGGGTGCCTGTATGGGAAGGGGAGGGGTGCAGGAAAGGAAGTGGATGAGTGAAAGGAGATGGCTAGGAGGAGAATGGTGAGAGCGACGAGCAGACAGACGGTGAAGAATGACGAACCGCACGTGGTGTCAGAGGGAGGGGGTTGCTTGGTAGCTGTGGGGGGGGTGGCAGGGAGGCAGATGAGAGACGGACGTGAGGAGAATGGCGATGAGCCGACAGACGGTGAAGAAGGATGAACCCTGCGTGACATCTGAAAAAATGGCTGCTGGGTGGCTGTTTGGGAAGCAAGGGTGGATAGAAGAAGAGGAAGGGAGGTGGATGAGTGTAAGGAAACTGGTGTGAGTCGCAAAGTCGCCTCAAGTGCACGAGGGGATTATTTTAGGCGAGTAAAAACCGGAGGCAAGAAGCTGAGCAGACTTACCCGCAGCAGCAGCAGCAGTGGAAGCATCAAGCTCGGGAGGAGGGGAGTAGAACTGAGTACACGTGGCAGCATCCAACTGGCCCTCGGCTGCTACCGGCACGTCTGATGGGGGGGAGGATGCAGAGGAGAAGCAGTTGAAGAAGTACCTGGGGGAGGGTGGAGGGGGTGGAAGAGAGAGCGGAGGGAGGGAGGGGGAGAGAGGAAGGGGATGGAGGGGGAGAGAGGAAGGGGTGTAAGCTTGATTGGCAGGAGAGGTGGGTCGCTATGAGTGCAGAGCATGTGGGGGGGAGGATGCAGAGGAGAAGCAGTTGAACAAGTACCTGGGGAGCGGGGGGGGGGGGAGGAAGGGTGGAGAAGGAGGTTGGGAGGGGTGAAGAGGGATTTGAAGGGAAGGAGAGGGGGATTGCAAGGAGTGCAGAGCGCATGGGAAGGATGCAGAGGTGCAGCAGTTGAAGAAGTACCTGGGGGAGGAAAGGTGGGGAAAGAGAGCAGGGGAGGGAGCGGGTTGAATTAGAGGTCAGGAGTGAGTGGAGAGGTTGGAGGGGGGAGGATGCAGAGGTGAAGCAGTTGAAGAAGTACCTGCGGGAGAGAGGCGGGGAGAGGAAGGGGGGGGGTGATTGATTAGGTGGGGATTGGATGGTGGAGGGAGTAAAATGGGTGAGGGGTGAATAGAAGGGAGCTGGTGGGCAGGAGAGAGGGGTCGCACGGATTGAGGAACAGGAGAAGGGAGGGGGGCGTATTGGTGAAGCAGTTCAAGTATGGCAGCAAGGCAGGGGAGGGGGGCCAAGTGGTTGGGATGTTAGTAATATATCAGGAGAGAGCAGAGCTGTTGTGGAGGATGCACCTGAGAGCAACTGAGGGTCACCTGCGAGCAACAGAGGATCACCTGAGAGCAACAGAGCGTCACCTGAGAGCAACAGAGCATCACCTGAGAGCAACAGAGCGTCACCTGAGAGCAACAGAGCGTCACCTGAAGTCAGCCTGGCGTTCAGGTGGAGGAAGCGGCACAGAGCCGTTGAAGAAATTGTTTGAGATGTCACTGTGATGTGATGGGGCGGGGGGGGGGGGGGGGGGGGGGAGGACAAGGCGAAGGGGCGAGAGGAGGGAGTGGAGGGGAAACAGTGGCGTTCAGGTGGAGGGGAAACACTGGCGTTCAGGTGGAGGCAGCAGCACAGAGCCGTTGAACAAGGGGAGGGGTTTGAGACGTCACTGTGATAAGGGGAGAGGGGGTAAGAGAGACAGGAGGGGAAGGGGTTGTGAAGTGAAGAGAAAGTACTTGTGAGATGGTTTTTGAGGCGCCTCAAAAGGGGAGGGGAAGGGGTTGTGGAGTAAAGTAAAAGAGAAATGACTCGTGAGACGGTTTATTTGAGAATTCTCAAGACCCATCTCAAAAGGCACAGAGAATTCTTTTGAGTCGAGTCAAAAGTAGTCTTGAGATCTCTAAAAAACCATCTCGAAAAAGCATGAAGACTTTGAAGAAGTTGCTTGAGATGTCACTGTGATGGGGGGGGGGGGAGAGGAGAGAGTTGGGGGATTGAGAGGAAAGCAGGGAACAGCATCTTCTGACGCATCTGAGAAGGCAAGGGGACGTTGAGAAAACTGTGTTTTGATTCGACTCAAAACTGGCGCATCTGAGAAGGCAAGGGGACGTTGAGAAAACTCCTGGAGACTTGCTGTGACGGGGGAAATGGAGGAAGGAGAAAGGGGAGGAGATTGAGAGGAGAACAGGAAAAAGGGAAAAGGGAGAAGAGATGTTGTTGAAGATGTCGTGTGTTGAGAAAAAGAGAGGAAAGGGGAAGTGGGAACATTAAGTAATTCGAAAATTATACTGTTATTGTGCGGAGCGAAGCAGAGGCAACTGGAAGCTGAGGCAGAGAGCAGAGGGACGAGGGCAGAGGGACGAGGGCAGAGGGACGAGGGAAGAGGACCATAAAGCCTTGACACCTGAGAAGTTAGAACATGATAAAAACGCATCGCACAGAAGTGCACGGCATAAAACGGCATGTGCACGGCATAGCACGGCATAGCACGGCATGTGCACGGGATGTGCACGGCATGAAACGGCATGTGCACAGCACGGCATGTGCATATCACGGCATGTGCATATCACGGCATGTGCATGTCACGGCATGTGCATGTCACGGCATGTGCATATCACGGCATGTGCATATCACGGCATGTGCCTATCACGGCATGTGCATATCACGGCATGTGCATATCACGGCATGTGCCTATCACGGCATGTGCATATCACGGCATGTGCCTATCACGGCATGTGCCTATCACGGCATGTGCATATCACGGCATGTGCATATCACGGCATGTGCATATCACGGCATGTGCATGTCACGGCATGTACATATCACGGCATGTGCATATCACGGCATGTGCATATCACGGCATGTGCCTATCACGGCATGTGCATATCACGGCATGTGCATATCACGGCATGTGCCTATCACGGCATGTGCATATCACGGCATGTGCATATCACGCCTATCACGGCATGTGCCTATCACGGCATGTGCATATCACGGCATGTGCCTATCACGGCATGTGCCTATCACGGCATGTGCCTATCACGGCATGTGCATGTCACGGCATGTGCCTATCACGGCATGTGCATGTCACGGCATGTGAAGGAACTCACACGTCGGTGAGGGAGGGGAAGCGCCAGAGGTCTGCAGGCAGCGAGCCGGACAGGCGGTTGGAATGCAGATAGCTGCATGGC